TCGATCTGCATGGAGAATATGAGCCCCCATAAACATCTGGATTTAAACCAGCTTAACTCTGGGAGAGGAGAGGTCTATAAGAAACCTCAACTCTGCTCTTAAAAGGCCAGTGTACAACATCACCTGCTCAGAGACCCAGCCCAGAGGTAGCAGTTTGCAAAGCATCTGGACTATATATCTGAAGGAGATTTATTAATTTGAGGGACTGTGCTATACAGGCAAAGATCTGCAGGAACTTTCTCTGGGAATGGAAGTGCTAGCAGGTACTATTTTTCTTGGTCTTCTTCAGCCCATCTGGCTTGAAACAGGTGGGCCCCAGTTCTGACACTCTCTCTTCCTAGCACCACTCACCCTGCTCTGGTGTTCCCCTGCAAAGTCATTCCAACCAACTCAACTGCCCTGGCAGGCACTTTTGCAAAGTGACCCCTGCTCTAAGGAATCCCATTCATCTGCATGCCCATGACAGTGGCCACCGAGCCTCCCAGTCAAGTCACACTGCATACTAACCCCACCCGCCAGCATACCTGTAGCAGCTGCAGCCAGGCCTCTTGGCTAAGCCATGCCAGGGCCAGCCCTACCCACCAGTGTACCCACAGCAGTTGTAGCCCAGTTACTATTTGCAGATGACATGATACTACATATAAAATCTCTAAAGACTCCACTAAAAAACTATTAGAACTAATAAATGAATTTAGTAAAGCTTCAGGACATTAAAATTAATATATAGAAATCTGTTGCATCTCGATACACTAAATTACAAAATAGAGAAATTAAGAAAATCCCATTTACAACTGCATCAAAGGGAATAAATTATCTAGGAATAAATTTAACTAAGGAGGTGAAAGACATGTACTCTGAAAACTGTAAGACACTGATGAAAGACCAAAGATGACACAAATAAAGGGAAAGTTATACAATGCTCATGGGTTTAAAGAATTAATATAGTTAAAATGTCCATACTACTCAAAGCAATTTACAAATTCAATGTAAACCCTATCAAAATACCAATAGCATTTTTCACAGAACTCGGAACAAATAATCCTAAAATGTGTATGGAACCACAAGACCCCAAAAACCCAAAGTAATCTTGAGTAAGAACAAAGCTGGAGGGAACAGATTTCAAACCATACTACAAAGCTATTGTAATCAAAACAGTATGGTACTGGCACACAAATGGACACATAGTCAATGGAAAAGAACTGAGAACCTAAGAAAAAACCCATGTTTATAAGGTCAATTAATCTATGACAAAGGAGGTAAAAATATACAATGGAGAAAAGACCATCTCTTCAATAAATGCTGCTAAAAACACAGGACAGCTACATGCAAAAGAATGAAACCACTCTTAACACCATACACAAAAATAAGCTCAAAATGGATTAAAGACATGAAACTATAGGGATGCCCGGGTGGCTGAGTGGCTGAGCCATCTGCCTTTGGCTCAGGGCATGATCCTGAAGTCCCAGGATCGAGTCCCACATGGGGCTCCCTGCATGGAGCCTGCTTCTCCCTCTGCCTGTGTTTCTGCCCCTCTCTCTCTCTCTCATGAATAAATAAAATCAATCTAAAAAAAAAAAAAGACATGAAACTATAAAACTCCTCCAAGAATATGTGAGAAGTAAACTCTTACACCTCAGCCTTAGGAATATATTTTTGGATCTGTCTTGTTAGGCAAGGGCAACAAAAGCAAAAATAAACAATTGAAACGACATCAAACTAAAAACTTTTGTACAATGAAGGGAACCATCAACAAAACTAAAAGGCAACATACTAAAAGATATTTGTAAATGACGTATCCATTAAAAGGTCAATATCCAAAATGTATTAAAAAAAAAAAACTCTTAGCAGAGAATATAATGCCAAGTGAGATAAATTAGAGAAAAACAAATGCAATATGATTTCACGCATATGTGGAATTTAAGAAACAAATGACCAAAAGGGGAAAAAAAGAGATAGATGAAGAAACAGACTCTTTTTTAAAACTTTAAATTCAATTTGCCAACACATAGTATAACACACAGTGCTCATCACATCCCACGTCCTCCTTAATGCCTATCACCCAGTTACCCCATTACCCCCACATCTCTTGTCCAGCAATCTTCAGTTTGTTTCCCAGAGTTGAGTCTCTCAAGGTTTCTCTTCCTCTCTAATTTTCCCCCATTCAGTTTCCTCTCCTTCCCTTATGGTCCATTGAACTATTTCTTACATTCCACATATAAGTACTACATAGAACAAACTGAGGGTTACCATAGGGGAGGGGAGTGGGGGGAATGGGTAATATAAGTGATGGGAGATTAAGCAGTACACTTATCATGATGAGCACTGAGTAATGTTTAGAATTGATCAATCATTATATTGTATACCTGAAACTAATATAATACCATATGTTAACTGTACTGAGTTGAAATTAAAAAACTTAATAAAAAATTTTAAAAATAATAAAAAATAAATTTAATGAAAATAACTAATTGGATTTAACACCAAAGAAAGAAAGAAAAGCAAAAAAACCCAAACAATCAAATTAAAAAATGAGCAGAAGACCTGAAAAGACATTTTTCTAGAGAAGATATCGTATGACCAACAAACACATGAAAAGATGCTCATTATCATGATGTATATAATTTCACACTTGTTAGAACGGCTACTTAAAAAAAAAAACAACCACGAAATAACAAGTGTCGGTGAGAATGTAGGACAAAGGAAACCCTTACGCACTGTAAGTGGGAATATAAATTGGTGCAGCCACTATGGAGAATAGTATGGCAGGCCTTCAAAAAATTAAAAATAGATCTATATGATTCATTCTAATTTCTGAGTATTTACCTGAAGAAAATGAAAACATCAATTTAAAAAGATATATTGTATGCCCGTGCTTACTGTATGTAGCATTATTATAATATCAAAGACCTAGAAGCAACCCAAGTATCCATCAATAGATGGGTAAAGAAGATATGGCATATATATATGTGTATATCTGTGACACAAATGGCAAGATTTCATTTGTTTTATGGCTGATTAATTTTCCATTTTATATACAAACACACACATACATATACATATATGTGAAACTAATATTCTATATCAACTATACTTCAATTTAAAAATAATGAATAAAAATAATTTTTTAAAAAATGTAAGGGATTATAGAAAGAAAAAAGCAGTGCTGCTTTCCTAATTTACGTGTGTGTGTGTGTATAATGGAAAATTACTCAGCTATAAAAACAAATGAAATCTTGCCATTTGTGACAACATGGATAAGTGAAATAAGTCAGAGAAAGGGACACCTGGCTGGCTCAGTCAGAAGAGCATCAGATGATTGATCTCGGGGTCATGAATTTGAGCCTCATGTTGAGTGTAGAGATCACAGAAACAAATAATATTTAAAAAAAGAGAGAAAGACAAATACCCTATGATTTCACTTATATGTGGAATCTAAAAAACAAAATAAATGAACAAAACAGAAATAGACTCATAAATACAGAGAACAGACTGGTGGTTGCCAGGAGGGAGAGAAAGTATGGCAATGGGAGAAATAGGTAAAGGAGAAGAAGAGGTACAAACTTCCAGTTATAAAATAAATAAGCCAAGAGGATGTAAAGTACAGCACGGGGAATATAGTTAACAATATTAAAATAATTTTGTATGGTAACAGGTGGTAACTACACTTATTGTGGGAGCATTTTGTAATGTATATAAATGTCAAATTACTATGTTGTACACCTAAAACTAATATAGTATTCCATATCAACTATACTTCAATTTAAAAATAATGAGTAAAAATAAATTTTTCAAAAAAGAACGTAAGGCATTATAGAAGTAAAAAGCAGTGTTGTTTTCATATATAAGCCCCAAATTTTTTTTTTAATTTTATTTATTTATTTATTTATGATAGTCACAGAGAGAGAGAGAGAGAGAGAGAGAGAGAGAGAGAGAGAGAGAGAGAGAGGCAGAGACACAGGCAGAGGGAGAAGCGGGCTCCATGCACCGGGAGCCCGATGTGGGATTTGATCCCGGGTCTCCAGGATCGCGCCCTGGGCCAAAGGCAGGCGCTAAACCGCTGCGCCACTCAGGGATCCCTAAGCCCCAAATTTAAAGTCACAAGGCCAGATTCTCTGAATGTATCTTAAATTGAGATACATCCCCTATGGGCAACTTTATGTAGCATAAACCAGGTACCAATTTATTTATTTAACCTTGGTTAATTATTTTCCTGACCAGATTACTACTGAGTATATTCCCAGCTTTTAAGCACATTATACTTTTGAAGTATCAAAGTTTGTATTCCCACTAGCATTTCAAAACAGTAATCTGTTCATTTAAGAACATGAAGTTGTCTCGTTTCTTGGTATTAGAAACATACAATATATCAAAACTTATGGAATACACTGAGTTGCTGAACCATTCAGAGTAAGGAATAACTTTCCATATCCTCAAATTCTGGACCAAAGAAATGACAATGATATCTAAAAGAATAAGAAAAAGATAACAATATGCCATATATTTATTAATAACACATAAAGAAGGTATTTCCTAATGTAGCCAATGCCTATATTAGCTTTTATCACCTAAATTAAAAATTGCTATTGGTTGCAGCATTAATTTCAACAAATAAACTTATGCAATTATATAGAATTCAAACATCTATGTTTGAATGTCAAATAGTCTGTATAATGAAATTTTTACTGTGTTGAATAGGGAGACCTTATGACAATCATTAATCCTAGAATCTCAGTATCACTTTCCTAGAAACTTAAGGCCTCCATTTAATTAAGGCCCAAGCTATTCAAACAGATTTCAGACCTTAGTTAATAGTCTGAAAAAAAATATATATATATAAAAAAATTACCCTCAGGCTTCCTAGGTCATTTACATTATATTTTGTTATGCTATACTTCATTATATTTATAAAAAAATACATAAGCATGAGTTGCAAGAAATAGTGTTAATAAGTTTCAAAAATAATATAAAAAGTCAATCCACATAATATTACTTATTCTTACCTCTGAACTATAATCATCTGCCGTAGTTGAAATTTCACTTTCTGGCTAAAACAAAAATAAAAACCAATTACATTAAGGCTTTCCACCCCAAACATTGTACTTTATTAACCCATTACGATTAGTAACATATGACAGAAAATTCACATATCACTAAAAAACTAGTAAAAATTATTCAAACATTAAAAAAAATTTTATGTATGTGGATTTTATTTTATTAATTCATTTTTTTTAAGTAAGCTCTATGCCCAACTGGGGCTTGAACTCACAACCCTGAGATCAAAACTCACATGCTCTATCGACTGACCCAGCCACACGCCCTGAAACCTTTGAAGTTTTCATTCTATGAATCATAATGGCTAACACATCTGAAATTTACCATGAGGCATTTTTCTAAATATAAAAGTATCAAGAAGTACTTTCACATAGTATTTCTATGTGAAATATGTATTACATATCATTTGTAAGACAAAAGCACCAAATGAGATATCATCCCACTAATTCTTATGTCTCTTTTAAATAAAACAAAGTCTTAAAATGTTAGTCAAGAGTTCAATTTCTTCAAAAAGAAAAATCATGGGTGCTCCTGGCTCAGTTGGTAGAGTACGTGACGCGTAATCTCGGGGTCGTGAGTCCGAGCCCCACTCTGGGCTTACAGATTACTTTAAAAAAAGAAAAGAAAAGAAAATCATCAAATCTTGAGGCTAGAAAAGTAGTAACAACCTGAAGTAAAAATCACAATCTTCATTGTTATGAACACCTTTGCAGCTTCTAAAACACTTTCTAAGACATTTCTGTTTCATTCTTACATCGCTGGGATTTGGGTATGGAGTGACTTTTCTGAGCTTCCCTCAGTTTAGAACCACCAGAAAGAGTCAAGGAGGAAACTTAAATTTTCACTGCTTTCACTGTTCACTCATTCATCTAAGAATCTCAATTTACAAGTGAGAAAAGAGAATCAGATATTTCACCATCTCAGTCAACAAATATGAACCATCACCGTCTCCCTTCTCATCTATCCTTAAGGAAATTTTATTCGTCACCCAATATCACGCTCTAAGTCTACCTCCTCTCTGATGCAGTAACTGCTGTCAGGAACAGAAATGAGCTTACCCATATTCTAAAATTCTGTCACAGTGGTTCCTAACTTATATGACCCTCTTTTAAATCTAAAATACTTTCATGACCCAAGCCCTCAAGGTTGATTCACTTATGCCTTTTAAACAGCTACAGAGGGCAGCCAGGCTAGCTCAGCGGTTTAGCACCACCTTCAGCTCAGGGTGTAACCCTGGAGACCTGGGATCGAGTCCCACATTGGGTTCCTTGCATGGAGCCTGCTTTTCCCTCAGCCTGTGTCTCTGCCTCTGTGTGTGTGTGTGTGTGTGTGTGTGTCTCATGAATAAATAAAATCTTAAAAAAAATAAACAGCTATAGATTAAATATATATATATATTGTGTACTAAAATCTGTTTTCTGAGGATGAAATGGTGAACAAGATACTCTTTGCACTGAAAATGCTAAAACTCTAGAGAGAAGCCCAAACATTGATTTGTTATGCAGAAAAAGATACCAAATACATCTTCAAACCACATCGAGCACCAGAGTTACCATATTATATTATTTAAAAGGTCCAGATTTCAACAATTCTAAGATAAAGAAAAGGGAAAGTTTGGCCCATATACAAGAAAAACAGCAGTCAGTTCCTGAGGAAACACAAATATTGGACTTAATATACAAAGCTTAATATACAAAGCTGTATTTAAGCTACCTATTTTAAATATAGTCAAATAAGTGAATAAAATGAAGTTGAAAATACTAAAGAAAACTATAAGGATACTGCCTTACAAAATAGAGAATATCACTATAAAAGAACCAAAGAGGACTGGCAGGCTCAGTCAGTAGAGCATGCGACTCTTGATTGTGGGGTTGAGTTCAAACCCCATGTGGGGTGTAGAGATTACTTTAAAAAATAATAAAAATTGTAAAAAATAATAAATTTTTTTAAAAGTAAAATAACTGAAATGAAAAATTCATTAGGGGGCTTGACAGATCTGATAAGACAGAATCTGCAAACTTTTAGAGTTCAATTGAAATTAAGCAGTCTAAGGAAAAGATTAAAAGAGAATGAAGAAAAATGACAGAGCCTGAGAGATCTGTGCAACAATATCAAACATAGTAACATGAAAAATAGGAGACCCAGAAGAGGGGACAGAAAAGAGCAGAGAGAATATTTGAAGATACAATGCCCAAAAGCTTCCCAAATTTGATGAAAAATAATAATCTACATAGCCAAGATGCTCAAAAATTCTAAGTAGGGAATTACAAAAAGATCTACTCTTAGCAAATCTCTAACACCCCTGAACTTTTTCATAAAGCTCAAATCCTATATATCATTTAAATCTTTGTTTCTATATAAATATGGCAGCATACAATCCAAATTATAATTATTATATTTCTTGTCCACCACTCTTTCTCCTAAGCATCCCAGCCTTCTCTACTCCTGGTCTTAGTTGGTAAGCTCCACCCCACACACCATGTCAACCCACTTTTAAATTCTCCCACATCACCTTATCTGGAAAATTACACTACTAAAGAAAGGAAGAAAACTAGTCTTTATTTAGAGCCTACTATGGGCCAGGTGCAATCTCCTGCCTCTCACCTTTACCATCACCCCATCCCCATTATTCTGTGATGCTTTTAAAACTAAACTTCTTACAGTTTCCAAATCACATCATATAGTTTCATGTTCTTGTGAATGTTGCTTCTTCATCACAGAGGTTGCCTTACCTACTTTACTATAGCTAAGCTTAGCATTCCCGCAAACCATGGTACTCAAGGGTTCCATATGCATTTTTGTTACCATAGCTGTAATCAGAGTACACAGACTATCTTACATCTGCCTTCCCCACTTGACTGACTTTCCTAAGGGGCAGAGAATGTTATATTTCCCTTTGTATCCTTGCTGCTGAATCCCTGATGTATTACAGTTGTTGTACTACAAATGTTTATTGAATCAAGCTCACAAAAATGGCACAGGGTACTAATGAGTGTTGTCATTACAACTTTCCACTTGGAATTCTAACATTCAAAAATCTAGATGAATACTTACTTCAACAGAGAAGACCTCATCACGTTTGATTATCGTGGATTCAGGAGTCACAGTTGTTCCTACTCTCTGAGAACTATTTATGTACATTTCATCACTTTGTGAGTGTTCAATATTCAAAGCATGGTATGTTGACACATCATGTTTACTGCTTGAAGTCTTCCTCTTTTTTTTCTGCTTCTTAGAAGGATTCTGCCCATCAGATTGAGCTTTCCTCTGTCGAAACTGGGCAAGCTACGGAAAAAAAGACATTGTCCGTATCATTAGAGATAATTTTTCTTTACCGTCACTATGAAAAAAGCAAGTATCTTTGGAGTCACTTTCTTTATAAGATCAAACCATCACTAAAATGATAACTAAATAAAGGACAGTTATCAGAGTTCTTAATATAACTACTGAATTGCAAAGAAATTAGGTACTTCTGAATGAATGCTATTCAAATATTAAGAAATGAAAATGTTATGTCTAAAGAAAAAAAAATTAGCCCAGAGTTGAGTAGAATAGGGAAAATAGGCAGTCTCACTCACTGTTTAGCGAGAGTAATCTCTGAATGTTAGATTATGCAAAAATATAAGAGGTCTAAATGCATTTGCCTTGTGAAATTTCTGGGACTTCTACTAATTTATACTAAATGTAATTTGTCCATGTAAAAGATTTAGCTGTACAAATGATCACTGTAGCCTTGTTTCTAACGGGAAAAATTTTGAAATAACTTAAATGTTAAACAATAGTGCTTCCTACCCCCTAACCATCTGCATATCATCAGGATTTTTGCTATGCCCTAACGCCATCTATATACTCATCATTAACTTAACCTGTTTTAACTAGCATACTTACTAATCTATATTTATTTTAATAAGAGACTTTCTATCCTGGTATAAATTAAAAGCCACTATCACTTGTGATTTCCTTAAAGAAAATAGCAAACAGGAATAACTGTAACGAAAAATAACACTACATTACTAAATTTTTAGTTAGGTATTATTGCTGAAGATTGTAAGAGAAACAGACAAGTGTTAAAGGAGTATTAAGGATATATGAGCATCAAACAGACTTTTGGCTTACTGTAAACAGATGGGCTAAAAAAAAAAACCTGGTAAAGTATTAACTTTCTTATGATACCATTCACTATTATTTAATATTGGATCAGAGTATCACCTAAAATACCTTATCACCACCTAAAATCGGAAGTATGCATTATATACTTTGGGCAACACTGGATTAACTCAACTAAAATAATGTTAACATATATCATCCATAATAATAAAGATGTTTATATAAAAATATATGTGAAAATATAAAGCTGTTTATGACACAGTCGTATATATAAAATAATATTGCAATAGAATCTTTTTTTAATAAAAGGAAAATGGTGTGCATCTCTTTCGACAAAGACAAGCAGGGCTCAGGCTCAGAGACGTCAAAAGGCATAGATAAATTCTGGAAGAATATAACTACAACTTTGGTATCTCCCTAGATTGGAGACTACTGGTATTTTTCTTTATGCTCATTTGAAATTTCCTTTCTTATGGAACAAATTTTCTAAATTTTACATGAAGCAACTACTAGTCACCAATTCTTAAATTTAATTTGAGCTACTTGATCATTTAGAGAAAAGCGTAAGAACAGGTATAAGCCCCTTTGTGCCTTAAAAGAAGGAAATCTACTACCAGTGTATTAATTATATAATTAATTATATGACCAAGCACAAAGATAGCCAACAAATTTCTTATGCTATGAAGTATTAAAACAAACTTAATAATGACATAGATATTATTAGCTATCAAAATATGTGACAAATACCAGAGCTTATAGCATATTTTATACTTATTTTGTCTGTTGCAGGTGAAAAAAAGGATACAGCTATGTAGTAGTGATCACTTAAAGACATCTAACTCACAAGTCAGAAATATCTAATCAGTTGCTGATCCTGTAGAATGTAAAATATATCACATTAAAAACTTTTCCCAGTTATTTAGCAACTGGCCTGTTACCCTACTTTATGTCTGCCTTAAGGAACAGATGTTAAGACCAGTTGCCTCTATTTGTACATTATTAAGTTGCTGGAATGCATTTAAACTACTTTGGAGGACAGTAAATTCATTCTTAAAAATAAACCAACTGAAACACTATTACATGTTATCTGTAAATAGAATGAAAAGTCTAGGCACATCATTTAAAAAGATCCCTCACAGAGGACATAAAACCAAGAAAAAATATTAATAATAGTAACATTCTTGATATGTAAGTTCAACTTCAGAAACTTCTTAAAATTCCATGCTGTGTTAGAAAACATACCCAGATAGCAGAGAATATAAAGACAAAGATGAATATTCTGTTTAAAATTTCAACTTGTTAGATTATATATATATTTATATGTACAAATATGTAAAAAAGGAGAAAACTAAAACTGTATTTTAAAAAGTTTGATTTTTAAATAAACACCTCTAAGGCATTCATTACTAAATGAAACAAAATGAAAAAGTTATTAATAGAGAATAAAAAGTAGAAGGGTTCTTGGGGCATCTGGCTGGCTCAGTCAGAGGAGCATGAAACTCTTGTTGATCTCGGGGTCGTGAGTTTAAATTCCACATTGGGAATAGAGATTACTTAAATAAATAAAAATTTTGAAAAAGATAGAATGGTTTTATTACAATGTTTAGAGCAAATCACTTCTCAGAACATAAAATTACTAGACACTGTTTTAGGCCTTTTACTGATTATACAAAGTTATACTATTTTTTCAGAACGATTAATCAGAAGGTAAACAGTATGAGAATAAAGACTTTTGTTCCATTCATTGCTATATATTTAAAGTCTGGAACAGTACTAAAAGAATATATGTTGAGTGGAAAAAAAAAACCCTTATCTTTTACAGAAAAGTCACCACCAAAAAAATCATTTTAAGCACTGTTCCATAAACAAGGCAATTATGATATAACAGGCATATCTAATTCTACTATGTAGAAAAGTTTCATGATCTCAGAATTAAAATCAGCAATTAAATGATTTTAAACAAAAAATAATCCCTCTCACCATCTCTTGCTCCATCAGGCAAAACAAAACAAAACCAGACACCTAATTCTCAAAAATAATGCCCAAAATAGCTTTTTAGCAAGAGTTCTGTTTCATAAAAATTATAAAGAACTATGCAACTCAACATGAAAAAAAACCAATCTGACTAAAAAATGAACAGAGGTTCTGAATAGACATTTCTCCAAAGAAGACATATAGATGGCTAACAGATGCATAAAAAGCTACACTCATCATCAAGGAAATGCAAATCAAAACCACACTGAGCATCACTCTACTCCTTGTCAGAATGACTAAAATCAAAAACACAAGAAATAAGTGTTGCTGAGGATGTGGAGAAAATGAAAACCCTTTTGGGTGGCTGCTGGGAGTGTGTATTGATGCAGCCATTGTGAGACAGTATAGAGATACCTCAAAAAATTAAAAATAGCATTACCATGTAATCCAGTACTTCCACTATATTTACTCAAAGAAAATGAAAACATGAATTTAAAAAGATATTTACACCCCCATGTTTATTGTAGTATTATTTACTATAAGCAAGATATGGAAGCAACCTAAGAGTTCACTGATAGACAAATGGATAAGGAAGTTGTGCTACATATAGACAATGGAATATTATACAGCCATAAAAAAACAAGACTGTGCCACTGGCTTAGCTGGTTGGGCGTCTAACTTGATTTTAGCTCAGGTCATGTCTCAGGGTCATGGGATCAAGTCTGAGTCAGGCTCCACACTGGGTGCAGAGTCTGCTTAGGATTCTCTCTCTCCCTCTGCCCCTCCCTCCGTCTCTCTACCTCTCTAAAAAAAAGAGAGAGAGATCATGCCATTTGAGACAATGTGGGAAGACTTGGAGGGCATTATACTAAACACAGTAAGTCAGACTAAGACAAATAACATAATTTCACTTGTCTGTGGAATTTAAAAAACAAAACAAACATAAAAAGACACTCAAATACAGAGATGAAACTGTAGAGGGGAGGTAGAGACAAGAGATGGGTGAAACAGATAAAGGCAAGTGAGAATACACTTATCCTGATGACCAATGAGAAATGTATAAAATTGCTGAATCATTATATTGTACACCTGAAACTAATACAAATGCTACATGTTAATTATACTTTGATTTTAAAAATCAATATATAATTTCCACAACAGCTTTTCAGCAAGAATTCCATTTCATAAAAGTACGAGAGGAGTAAGATCATACCATAAGTCTGATTTCTTATACCTATCTAGACTATTTTTATTTTAAATCTGAAAAGTGGCCAGTGAGCAGAAAAACAAAAATCAGAAACTACTCAATTAGTTAATCATCTGATATTGAAATGATACACTTTAAATTACTGGGAAAACATTTATTCTAAAACACGCTGAAAATTCAGACTACGGCCATCTGTGTTTGTCATTTGGAAGCCAATTATAAAAACGTTAACATATGTAGGCACAGAAATAGTTGCAAGATTTACTGGAAAGATATCATGTCCATATACACTTGTCTTTCAAAACTGATTCAGATCTCAAACAAATATCTCACTCTGACCAGCACATGAATATACTACTAAACAAAAATGACTGATAATTTATTCCCTAAGTTCAATACTTAAAATTTTGTAAGTAATCAACCTCAATAAAATAAAGAACTTAAAATAGCTATATAAAAACATGCCAAGTTTTTATAGTGTCCCTTAAAAAAAACCTACGAATTGTAACCTGTTTATCAAGTGTTCACTGAGTGTTAACTACGTGCCAGGCATTGTGCTAAAAATGAATCAAAATACATTGTCCTACTAGTAGGATCTTTCAGTTAAGGCCAGTCTATTACTTCACTGAGTTGTGAGAAGCAAGTAAGATAAAAGTTAGCATACAATTTCACAAATAAAAGTACTCCTATATATCTTTAAGTAGGTGGTATGGGAGCTTCCTGACTTTCAGCTAACCTGATTTTCTCAAAGGTGGCTTTCTATTGGAAATGTGGTTCTTGAGTTTTTATCTGTGAAGGAAATATGTTGGCATGTGACAGGTATTAAGTAGTTTATTTATTTGAAAAATATTTACTAACTGCCTATCATGTATCCAGCACTGTGCTAACGGTAGTACAGGTGGTATAGGAAGTAATGAATCAAACAGATACAAACCATATTCCTCTGATTTGTAATCCAGGTAAGAAGAACAAATTAAACAAATATAGATAAAACAGA